TGTCAGAGGTGGTTGGCTGCGGGGAACGGGTGGGTGCCATTCTGTGTTCTCTGTTCTGCCGCGTTGCTTTGGATTTGGGGTTTTGGCCATCTCCTTGGGGGCATGAGGGCTTTGCAGCACCAGTGTCTGTCCCACTGCGTCATAGCAGAGAGTCCCTGAGAAGTGGCCTTTCCCGAGGATATCACTGACTGAAGTTCTGGGGTCCAGGGGACCACACCAGGAGTCCCAGGAAGTCCCTCCATATGTCTGGGTGCATTTGTTGCTTTGAAAAGTTACATCACATTTCGGGGTGCATTTGGGGTGCATTTGGGGTGCGTATGAGTCCCCACACTCCTGCCATGGCACTCTTGTGTGGTCAGAGGATATGTGGGAGGCTTCTCTCTCCCTCTAGCATATGGGTTCTGGAGATCAAACTCAGGGGTCAGGCTTGGCAGCAAGGGCCTGTACCGTCACAGGGTGACGGCTCACTGGCCAGCACCCATCGGCAGGTGTTCCGTTGTTTCCTCATTGGCTGCGGACAAGCCACCAGTCTCTCTCTGCCTGGCTAACTGCTCTTCCCTTTCCAGTTCCTTGTATGAAGAGCTGACTTATACAAAGTGCATCTTATACAAAGTGCAGGGCCGATGGCACAGGCTCTGGGGCCCACAGCCTGGTTCTGCTGCCCACTAGTATCCTAATGCCTAGCGTGTCCTCTGGGAAACAAGGCAGATGAAGACCTTCCCACAGGGCTGTTGTCAACTGAAAGGTTAATCTCAAACTGCTTAGACGCTTGTCTAACACTCAGAAGTGCAGAGTGCATTTGCCCATTGCGTGTGTGGCTCGTGGAGACCCGGGGACTGGAGCTCTCACAGCTCAGGCTCCCATGGAGACCCGGGGACCGGAGCTCTCACAGCTCAGGCTCCCATGGAGACCCGGGGACCGGAGCTCTCACAGCTCAGGCTCCCATGGAGACCCGGAGACCGGAGCTCTCACAGCTCAGGCTCCCATGGAGACCTGGGGACTGGAGGCCAGACGTGGCAGCTCTCACAGCTCAGGCTTCCATTCACCAGCTGCCTCACCTTCAGCCTTGGTTTCTCCCCCATCTTCCAGCGATGGCGAATACTGACTGTCGCCATCACAGGACTCTAGAATCCTGAGCATGTCTGTGAGGAAGGTTTTGGATCGGGTTGAGGCGGGAAGGTCCATCCTAACTCCTAACTGTGGGTGGTACCATTCCATGGGCTGGGGCCCTGGACCGAGGAAAGAAGAGCGAGTGAATTGAGCTCCTACATCCATCCACCTCTGCTTCCTGACTGTGGATGCAGCGTGTCCAGCCGCCTGATGGGCCTGTGGCCACGCCTTCCCTGCCGTAGCCTTCCTGAAGCTGCGTTTTCAGGAATATTGTCACAGTGACTAGAAGAGTTTGTTTCTGTTGAGCTTTGGATATAGCAGTGTGGTGCTGATGGTGAGAAACAGCAGCTCGTCGAGGAGTCGAGGAAAGGCCGTGGCAGTCACGGGTGTCTTTGCCTCTAGCCCTGATTTTCCTTCCTTCTTGATGCTTATTGGCTTAGCAAACCGCTTCACTTTAATGGCAGTTGTCACCTGTCAACCGAGCACGACGCATCAAGCCTCCTAGCTACTCACACCTGCACATTCTCAGTGACACTGTCAGGAGTCCCAGCATGCAAGCTGTCCTTTGCCACCCAGAGTCTGCTCATCTCTGAACTTTGCAAAAAACGAACACTCTGCCGTGGCGTTTCAGAGCCTCTGGCTGTCGGGGACAATCTTCCTCTGCAAACACAGGAGTGACAGAAACACCCAAATGACAGACTGCTGGTTTCCCACAGATATTTCCCTCTAAATCAGCCGTGTTCTTGTCTTCCTGTGGCGAGCTGTTCAGTTACAGGGCTACAACACTTCTCAAATCCGGGCAAAGGGCTAAGGATGTAAATGAAGACAAAGACAGCAGCTCATTCTTGCAAGGAGAATGGCGTTTATTTTAACAAGAGCAGAGCATTATATACTAATAGCAGGCATGGTGGAAAATCACCAAGGTCAGAAGCCTTCCCAGGGCCCTCAGGCAAAGGATGGGCCAATAACAGGAATTAGCATTTAGACAATAAGGATAGACAGAAGACAGGAACTTGCATGCAGGCCTTACTGGGAGGCAGGGACTAGAAGCTCCTAGTCACAAACCGGTCAGCAGACCCTCATGAGGGAAGGGTGCAATATCTTCCGGGCTCTTCAGGACCTGTCAATCTATCTTCTAGCTCAGCAAACCTCAAAGTGCTGTCCTTGGACCAGCAGCCCCATCTCACTTGGGAAGTGTTCAAAGCCAAAGCAATGTTCTCAAACCTCACCCAGACCTGCTGAGGCAAGGACGTTTGGGAGGGGCCCAGTGAGTGGAAATCAGCCAGCCTTGCAGTAGCAGAGTGGACTGCCTTTCCGAACTACCAAATGCAGAGAAACACATTAATCAGCAAGACCAACTCTTAGTAAGAAACACCTTCTGGGATAGCACATGCTTGATCCTAGAACTCAGGAGGAGGTGGAGGCAGGAGAATCTCAAGGTCAGGGCTAGCCCCGGGCTACGTAGTAAGATCACATTTCAGCAGAAAGTTCAAGGCCGATGTGAGACTTGAGTGTTATTTTTCCTGTTGAGTCTGTTGTTCGCATTTACTTAATGATTACACCCACACCCTTTCGAAGATTAAGGGGCTTCGGATGTAACAGTCTGGGTGCTGGTGATAAATGACAGGTTCCGAAGAGTCACCTAGGATGGCGTAGTACCTTGCCATCTGAGACCCCTGCATTATGTCACGTCGTCGTTATAACGCTGATGCATATTTATTTATTTATTTATTTGGTTTTTCGAGACAGGGTTTCTCTGTATTGTTTTGGAGGCTGTCCTGGAACTCGCTCTGTAGACCAGGCTGGCCTCGAACTCACAGAGATCCGCCTGCCTCTGCCTCCTGAGTGCTGGGATTAAAGGCGTGAGCCACCACCACCCAGCACTGACGCTTATTTATTAGTTTCATTGTCAGGGCTTGTGGTGGTCTGAACAGAAATGGCCCACAGAGGCTCACATATTTAATGCTCAGCCCCCAGTTGATAAACTGAGAAGGATTAGGAGGTGTGGCCTTGTTGGTGTAGGTGTGTCCCTGGGAGTAGGCTTTGAAGTTTCAAAAGCTCATGCCAGGCCCAGTGTGTGTGTGTGTGTGTGTGTGTGTGTGTGTGTGTGTGTGTGTGTGTCTGTCTGTCTGTCTGTCTGTCTGTCTGTCTGTCCCCACACCACCCCCACTGCCTTTTGCCTGTGGATCAGGATGAAGAACTCTCAGATGCTACCTCAGGAGTGTGAAGGGATCCCAGGAAATGTTTCCTGTCTTTTCTAGGGGCAAATACTTCGCAGGCCTGCAGACTTCAGTCTCTATTCAGTTCCCCTTACTTCTACCTTCTTAGCAGTTTGTGATGAAGGCGGCCTTGAGGGTGAGCGTGGGTCTGAAGGGTGGCGTTCTTTAGTTTGAGAAGTGGTGTCATTGTATCGCCACCATCAGGGGTCCTTTGGCGAACCTGGCTGAGCGTAAAAACCCATGCTAGTGGCCACCAGCTCCACCTGGGAAGCAGAGAGATCTGCAGGACTGGATTTGAACCAAGCCCTGCCTTGCTGGATTAGACTTCTCTACCAGACCTCTAGGTCGATGGAGTAAGTGCTGCTGGCCCCAAGGTCAGCCCCACCCAGAGCAGGAAAATCCAGGGGCTTCGGAGGGGCCTGGGGACACCTGGCTTCCTAACTAGCGGCTAGGACCTGAGCAGAGTTCTACGCCGGCATCTTCTGCCTCCTCACACGAGTGCTGTTTAAGTCCACTCGACCTTCTGGGTTCCTAGGTGAGGCTGTGATGAGATTCTTTGTTTCAGCTTGAATTGGGAAGCTAGTCTGTTTTGGAATGAAAACACACAATGTTTACCAGCTGAGTCATGCCATGTAAACAGAAATTAGGAAAGTGCTCACACAACCAGCTCACTGAAGGAAGCTGTGTAGCCTCTATGTGGTGGGTTTTTAAAGGGAAACAATGTGGCTATTTTAGGTTTTCTTCTGATTCTTTGCTTCCTGGGGTTCCGTTGCTCTGGCTTTGAATTGCACACAAGACCGTGCAATAAGAACACCACCAGGCTTCTGTGGACCAGGCACTAACCCAAGGATGCTGTCCACACACAGACCCGGTATTTGCTGGTTCCTTGGGTGAATTTGCATTTTCTTTTCAATTTGGAAATCTCTAAATTCTTTTTTTTTCTGAATTTTCCAAAGGGAAGGTGTGTTTTTACATTTGTAATTAGAAAAGCAGCAAAAGCTGTTCCTCAAACGGAAGGGTTTTAGAATCCGTCCTTACCAGGCATGGGGGGGGTCCTCCAGTCAGTGTCTGCGCCACCACAGCTGCCTTGCTCACGGGAAAACAGCTTTCCCGTGGTGCTTTACGCTGACTGAGAATGAGGCGTGAGCCTTTTCCCTGCTCATTGGTTCTTTTTACTTCTCCAAGCTGGATCAAAAGTGCTGATGAGTATCAGCTGTGAGGCGCACTGTTAAAATGTGTTTCTGCCAGTTAGCTTTTCTGCATTAATAAGCCACCCAGAAGTTAGCGGCTCAGACTGGCAAGCGCCTGCTGGCTCACCGGGGAGACTCAGACGGGTCTGGCTTCTCAGCCGGGGGCCTCTGTGCATCTCAGGCCAACTGGTGGCTGATAGCCTCACTCACCTCTCTTGAGGTTTGGCCCCCCCAAAAGGTCTCAATAACAGAGAAGGCCAGCTTGGGTCCACACACATGGTTGACAGGCAGCAGGACCCCAAAGCATCCAGGGCGGTGCCTGCAAGCTCGGGGCTCAGCCTCACTCCACTGCTCTCCACAGCCAGAGGCAGTGGCCAGGCCAGGCCCGTGTCTAGAGGCTGAGTCACAAAATGTCGAGTCTTTGTGGGGGGGCTGCCAATTATGGTAGCGGTTCTGCAGTTCTAACTCTCTGATCTAACAGGCTCCTGAGGACACAGTCCCTGGAATGGTTCTACAGCAACGTGAAGAGCCGCTTCAAGCGTTTCGGCAGCGCCAAGGTCCTGAAGAACCTGTACAGGAAACACCGTCTGGAGAGCGGAGCCTGCTTTGACATCCTAGGTACCCACTGCCTGCTGCTCCGGGAGGTCTTGGTGGCTGGGAGTGAGTGGAGGGGGCTGGGCTTGGGGACCCCGTTCTTGGGCGTGCACACTCTTTGTAGAGACAGAGAAACTTGTTTAAATAGCAGGTCCTGGGGAGAGGGCAGGTTGCAGGGAGTGCCAGGTTTTAACCCAGGGTTTTGTTTTTGTGTGTACATGTGCGTGTGAATGCATATGTGTATGGGTGTGCATGCACACGTGTATACACATGCACGTGTGCGCGCGCGCGTACACACACACACACACGCATGTGGAGCCAGAGGTGGGCTTCCAGTATCTTTCCTCAAGAGTTGTGCACCTTGTTTTTGAGACAGGATCTTTCACAGGCCAGGAACTCACCACATAGGCTAGACTGGCTGGCCAGGGAGGCCCAGAGACCCACTTATCTCTGCCCCAACACCCTCTCCCCTAACCCTTAGTGCTGGGATTAAAGGCAAATGCCACCGTGCTCAGCTTTTCATGCTGGGAATCGAACTCAGGTCCTCAGCAAACACTTTGCCAGGTTATCTCCCCAGCCGCAGCTCATGGGCTTTGAGCATCCCCACGGGACTAGACGTGTTGAAAGCTTGGAAGACTAAACTATTTTATCAAACTGTAGGTGTTTTAATTATGGACTCTTACAAGTCATTTGTGTATGTTCCCTACTCTGATCTCTACTCCTTTGGTGCGGGATCTCTTACTGACCTGGGACTGGTCTGGTGGCCACCAAGCCCCACCTGTTCTCCTATCTCTACTTTCCACAGTGCTGGAGTCACACGAATGCGAGGCCACGCCCAGCTTTTTACACTGACCCTGGGAATTTGAACTCAGGCCCTTGGGCTTCTGCAGCAGCGCTGTGACCACTGAGCCCCCTCCCCAGCCCCTAGAAATGGCTCTTAACCATCATCCCCTGATGACAAGACACCAGAAAGTCGTCTCCCCATTGAGATGATGCCAGGTCTATACCCTGAGAGTGTGCACATTCACTCTTCATGGCCCGGGTTCTGTTTACCAGACTCAGAATCCAGCATCGTAGAAAAATCACAAGAGTGTGGGTGCCCTCCTGGGTAGCCCAAAGGGCAAAGCTTACCTACATGGCGTTTAGACAGATAGGACAACCAAGTTACTGGGGAATGAGATCCCCTGGTCCTCTGAAGATGGCCAGGAGGATGAAGCAGCTGTCAAGCGTGTGAGCAGCACGCCTCCATAACGAAGCTGTGTTCTTCTGCTAGAGTATCCCTGTTCGCTGCTGACACACATAAATGCTTTTTATCCACGAGAATCCAAGAAAGAAAGAACCCTCATCCATCTCATTTGCAGCTTCTTACCACCATTATTTTACGTTGTCCTGCCCTCAAAAAAAATTCTCTGGCTGCATCTTATCTAAAAATACATCTGCCACACAGATAACGGGGACAGGATGGAGGCATTGCACTCCAGAGTCGTCAGGGCCTTTTGTGGTCCTAGTTAGACTCTTCCAAGCTTCTTGGGACTGTGTTTGGCTGAGAAGCAGCGGCAGCCATACGAGATGGGACGCAGAGGCTGACCTCGCTTTCTCTCAGCTTGAAGTACTCGGATGCTTCTATAGTAGCCAAGGGTGACTGTTAGTTCTGGGCGACTGTTCGGATAGTGCGTGGCCTCCATCTAAAGACGAGTGAGAAGCCATTTCACACAGCAGGGCACCATCCCTGTGCCTGTTTTTCTGGTAGGGAGGGAGGTCAAGGGCCAAGGAGGGTTGTGACCTGTTGAAGGTGACACAGCAGGTCACACAAATGGCCTCAGGCTCCCCAGTCTTTACCCTGCTCTGCCTTTCACCAACGCTAGCTCCAGGGAAGTCTTAGTCCGACAGAGGCTGCTATATCAGAATCCACAAGGCAACTTAGGAAGAGTAAAAGTCTCTTTAGCTGGGAGTTTGAAAGCCTGGAAGAGCCCCCCTCCCTCGTGTGTGTGTGTGTGTGTGTGTGTGTGTGCGCGCGCGCGCGCGCGTGTGCACACGGATACATGCTCACAAGTGCATGCATGAGTATAGAGCCTTCAGAGTCCAGAAGGAGCTTCAGCTCTCTTAGAGCTGGAGTTACAGATGGTTGTGAGCCTCCTGACGTGGTGCTGGGAACAGAACTCGGGTCCTCTGGAAGAGAGCAGTAAGGCTTTTTTTTTTTTTTTTTTTTTTTGGTTTTTTGGGACAGGGTTTCTCTGTATTGTTTTGGAGGCTGTCGGTCCAGCCCAGCCTCGAACTCACAGAGATCCGCCTGCCTCTGCCTCCCGAGTGCTGGGATTAAAGGCGTGCACCACTCTCCAGCCCCTTGGCAAGAACCTTCTTGCTGTGTCACCCTGGACGGAAGGTAAAATGGCAGGTCACACGTGAAAGGCCAAGAATGGAAGGAGGGGCCCCTCACAATAAGCCCACTCTTCAATAACTATGCTTCCAGGATACGTTAACCCGCCAAGACCAGGGTGGGTTCCTCCAATGCCGTCAGCTTGAGGGTCAAAGTTCATGGTGAGTTTGGAAAGAAAATATACTCAGGCCATAGCAGAGGGTGCTGGAAGGAAGTCCTGGTAAAGTAGCACTAGAAACCATTGTGCAGAGAGAAACGTTGGGTCAAAACTGGGTCTTTGTAGCGTTTGGTGATCCTGTCAGCCCACTGGCAAGGCAGGCTTCATCGCTGCGGGTCGTGCACCAGCTCCACGGCTCAAGTGCATCCTAGTTCACCAGAGACCACTCACGCCTCTGCTCTTCTCTCCTGTAGGAGGAGGGCCGTTTGAACCAAACCTGGAGAATGAAGGGAGCATTTCCGGAAGTGACTCGGCGTTCTACAGGCAGTCGGAAGGTGAGGCTGCTTTGACTGGCAGCTGCTGGGAGGCTGGAGGGATGGAAAGGCTGTTGGAATGACTAGTTGTGATCATAACTGTGTCGTGGTTGACCGGAGGGAGCTGTGGAATTGGAAGATGATAATCCCATGGACCTATGCTTGCTGTGTGAAACTCTTCCTATAATTTACAAATTCTCTATTTTATACCAACACCCTCATCCTACAATTGTGACATGGCATCTAAAGCCATTTCGGGACTTGGTAACCACCCCCATCGCACACATGCCCAGTTGAGTGCCTAGCCTGTCCACTGTATTGGAAAATACCTGAGTTCATAGACTCAGCAGTCTAGCAGGGCAGCATTGGAAATCTTCCTGGAACCCAGTGCAGGGAAGTTACACAGCCATGTTAGCTGAGACTGTGTGGACTTGCTCTGTGAAAACACAGTACTGGGTAAAATATGACTAAAGCACGCTGTATGCATGTCACAACAAAATCTAGTGTTTTGTATGATTAATACATACTAACAATAAAATAATACATCAACAATACATCATGACTAGAGAGATGGCTCAGCAGGGAATGATGCCTGAAGCCAGGCATGGTGGTCTGAGTCCAGTCCCTGGGACCACACGGTAGAAAAAGAAAACTGACTCCCACAAGTTGTCCTCTGACTGCCACATATATGCTATGGCACAGAAAGACAGACAGACACATACAGAGAGAGACAGAGACAGAGACAGAGACACAGAGACAGAGAGAGACACACATACACACAAGATGCACACACACATACACTGCATTTTTAAAAGTAATGTTTTTTAATATTTTTAAATAATTTCAGTCCTTTCTCCAGGATGAGTGTCCTGGAAAGCCAGGTGGGAGGTAGAGGACCCATCTCCAGGGAGCCCTCAGTGTGGTAACAACCTGCAGATTCTCCTCGTGGGTTCTTATTAGAACTTACAGGGACTGTGCTCAGTCCACTAGACCACAGTGTGCAGTCTGTCTGTCAGTCTGTCTGTCTGTCTGTATGACTGTAGGAGTTGCACACATCCTCCACCTGAGTCACCTAGACCTTAGCTGGGTTTGTTTTAGAGGATTTATTATATCTTCTGAATGCCACGTTCTGGCCATATTGGTGTCTTTAGGACTCTCAGGCGCTTGGGTGAGTGATGAATGAATGAGTTAGATGTGCTCACACTTTGTCTCATTTCGCAAATGGCTTCCAGCCGCTCGCAGGAGATTGGCATATGCTAACAACACAGGACTGGATTATAAGTGGCACCAGGGGATAAAACTGGAGGAAAAGAGTCATAGGCATCCGTCTCCTTCAGACCCATGAGCCTGTGACTGACGGAGATTGGCTACAGTGTGAATTCCCGAGTTCAGTCTCCATCACCCACCTAAAAGCTACTCTTGCTATTCCAGTTCCAGAGAGGTGGCAGCAGGTGGATGCTGGCCCTCCATAGCTAGCTGTTCCAGCTGAGTCAGTGAGTTCAGGTTCAGTGAGAGGCCCTATCTCAAAAAAGAAAAAACAACAACAGTGTATAGAGGACAGTTCTGGAAGTCAACTCTGACCTCTCTGTATACACACACACACACACACACACACACACACACACACACACTGCTGTGCTATTTTAAAAGATCATGTTGTCTTGCTTTCATTTCACTCTGCAAGGGCTTTCCCAGCCATTTAGGATGCCAATAGTAACCCTCTGCTATCTCCCTGTTTAACCCTGGGCAAATTACCCAGCCAGTGTGAACGTCACAGATCCATCTGTGCAGTGTGACCACACTGCATGTCACTGGATCCCATTTGTGCAGTGTGACCACACTGCACATCACTGGATCCCATCTGTGCAGTGTGACCACATGACACTCACTGCATCCCATCTGTACAGTGACCACACTGCACCTCACTGGATCTCATCTGTGCAGTGTGACCACACTGCATGTCACTGGATCCCATCTGTGCAGTGTGACCACACTGCATGTCACTGGATCCCATCTGTGCAGTGTGACCACATGACACTCACTGGATCCCACCTGTATGGTGTGACCACACTGCATGTCACTGGATCCCACCTGTGCAGTGTGACCACACTGCACCTCACTGGATCCCACCTGTACAGTGTGACCACACTGCATGTCACTGGATCCCATCTGTGCAGTGTGACCACATGACACCTCACTGGATCCCACCTGTACAGTGTGACCACACTGCATGTCACTGGATCCCATCTGTGCAGTGTGGTCACACTGCACCTCACTGGATCCCATCTGTGCAGTGTGACCACATGACACTCACTGGATCCCATCTGTGCAGTGTGACCACACTGCACCTCACTGGATCCCATCTGTGCAGTGTGACCACACTGCACCTCACTGGCTTGCCATAGAGATTAAGCTGTGAAACTCTCTGCTGGGCCTCAGCATGTCCTCTATTCAGTCTTGTTTTTGACTCTGGTCTATGACCCCAGTGTCTGCTTTAAGCCATGTTCACAGCCCAATGTCTTGGGTAATAATGTCTGTCCATGTCATCACAGTGGTAGAGTGTACAAAATAGGACCTATGCTGTCTGAGGATGTGGACAAAGAAACGTTTTGACAGGCCTCCAGAACCATCTTGGTTGCCCAGCAGGGAAGGTACCAGAAGGCAGAGAAGGGAGAGGGAGACTCAGCCTCTGGTGTGGGATGTAGGTGATGGTGGAGGCAGTGGACAGTGGATGCCCGTGCTCCATCCTGCGTGGTTCACCGTGTCCTGGAACCCCAGGTTATAAGCAGAAAAGTAACCCGTGTAGCAGTTGTGACCTGTGCTGCATTGTGTCCCTCCCTAGGACACAGCATGATGGACACTTTGGCCGTCGCCCTGCGAGTGGCAGAAGAAGCCATTGAGGAAGCCATTTCCAAAGCAGAATCCCACGGGGACAGCCTGGTAGGACCCCCTTCCCATGGTGGGGGCACACTGACTGGCAGGAGCAAGAGAGGATGTCGGGGTCCACGGCACTGTAGCCTGGAGTAAGGCCGGGTGTGGCCTCGCCTCTACTGTTGCAGGACCGCTGTGACAATGACCCCACATTCCCTCCATTCTCCTCCTTCCACAGGACAAGCAGAATGAGGCCAGCTACTTACGGGACCACAAAGAAGAGCTGACTGAGGAACTGGCTACCACCATCCTGCAGAGGGTAGGGCAGCTCAGACGGCCACGGGGCCAGGCCAGGGGCTGGGAGCAAACCATCCCATTTGCTGATGCCGAGACCAGAGTTAAGAGAGCAGAAGGAAGCAAACCATGGAGTCCACTCCGTCTGGAGGCCACTCGCTTCAGTGAAATGCTCACTGCATGCTCTGAGTGGCTTCTGCTTTTCTTCCCAGGGGAAGGTGTGTGGATCCCTGGGGTTCACTGGTCAGCTAGCGTAGCCCAGTAGGCAAAAATCCAGGTTCAATATGAGACCGTGTCTGGGAAAAAAAAGGAGAGAGACAGAGGAGGGCACCGGAGGTTGACTTCTGACCCCCACATATGTGTGCACACACAAGCATGTAAATGAATACCCACTGAAGAATTCCATCTGGGTGGCTTGGCCGTTTTCAGCTGTCCCGTCTGTAGGAGTTAGGGGCCCAGAGGAATCTGAACCAATGAGCCCACTAAATGCACATGTCTGTGCCAGAGCAGCTGAGGGCAAAAGGGACCTGGGCATCTGCAAGTCATTTAGGCTTCCAGATGCCTCCTCAAGTCAACAAAGGCACCAGGGCCTGTGTGCTATGCAGCTTTAGCTGATACATGAATCTCTCTGGATCTATGCTCTCACCTGTCAAGTGGGAAGAAGTGTACGTCTCTCAGAATTACTCTGTAGTCCCCAGCATGGAGTCTAACGCGGAGTGGTAGCCACGGGCTCCTTATCTGCGGGTCCAGTCAACCAAGGACCCAAAATATGTGGGAAAAGGGATTCCAGAATGTTCCAAAATGACAGCCCGAGCTTCGTGTACCAGGCTGAGTTCACGTGGACGGAAAACACGTGTGAACTTAACTGCCATCTCCCAAAGCCTTCCTGACACCTGCCATTTGGTCATTAAAACCATGACCATGACCGTGACATCTTTACCTAACATGTAGACTTTTCCCTCATTATTGTTCCCCAAACCATGAGCCCAGCAACTGTTTTAGTAGCGTACATGTCAGGCACTGTAAGTGATTTGAAGATGGTCTGATGCATGGAGGGAGACGAACAGTTTCTCTGGGCAAACACTTTACCCATGTTATCCCACTTCAGCCATCATTCCTCAGGCTCCAGCCATCTTGGTTTCTGATATATGGTCTCCCTCTGGCACGTGGGACCCACAGATTAGGCTAGGTCAGCTGGCCAGTGAGCCTCAGGGATGCTTGTGTGTCCGCCTCCCTGGTGCTAGGATTACAACTGTGAACCACCCGCGGGCCTGTTTACAAGAGTTCTGGCGGGGGGCAAACTCAGATCGTAATGTTTGCACGGCGGGCCCTTCCCCCAAGCCTCATCAGTGGGGGGGGAACCTGTGAGGGAGGCTGATTCCCGGGGCTGGTCCCCTGCAGGTGGAGCGGGGTGGCTGCTCTTGTCAGGGACAGGGACTGCAGGCCATCAGGACTGCGTGTGCCCTTCCAGCACAAGGTGGACCTGAAGCACAGTCGGAGCTCAGTTCCTGGGTAGCCGGGAGAGCATCCCAAAGACGGCCCCAGTCGCGGCACTTAGCCTCCGGAAGCCTCTTCGGTGACCTCGGTGTCCCCGTTTCCCAGATTATCAGAAAGCAGAAGAACAAAGCTGAGTCTCCAGCGGAGGAAGAGGGACCAGAGTGGTCGCCGCCACAGAGTGGAGGTGTGAAGGCCACGGATGAGGGGACCCCAGCCCCTCCAGGACCACACCGGGCACATGCCACCCTCTGGGTGAGTCAACACAGCAGTGATGCCCCACCACACACACACACACATGCACACATGCACACACACGCACACACACCACACGCACACACACACGCACACACACACACACACACCACACGCACGTACACACCACACACACACACATGAACGCACACACCACACCACACGCACACACACACGACACACACACGCACACACAGACACACACTGTGGGTCAGAACCGTTTTCCCACATTAAAGGGCCAGACACGTCTTGCCGTCGGCAGTTAAGAGTGCTTTCTGGGTCCTGGCCGAGAGCGGGGAATGTGGAGGGGGGCAGGTGGGGAGCCGGGAGAGCCGGAAACTGAGGACAAGCGCAGGTTGCTGCGGAGTTTTTACATGGAGACTGAATTAGGGAAAGCAAAGATGCCCATCGGCTGCATGTGTGCTCGCAGGTGTGCACGTGGAGGTCAGAGGTCAACCTCGGGTGTCGTTCCTCAAGCGCAGTCTCCTTGATCTTTCAAGGTGGGGTCTGCCCCTGGTCTGGAATTCACCGATTCAGCCAAGCCAGCTGCCAGCCCCAGGAACCCTTCTGTCTCCCGCTTCCCAATGCTGGGATGTTATGTGTGCCCCACTGGCTCCAGCTCTTAAATGTGGGTTCTGGGAATCGAACTCAGGTCTTTGCACTTGTGAGGCAAACACTCTACCAACAGAGCGATACTCCCCAGTCACAGAGGTCCCACTGGCCCATACCAGCGCAGGCCCGAGGCCCTGACGTTGAGGGAAAGGCGTTAAACCCGCCTCTCCGAGGTCCCAGGTGCAGGAGGGATGACTTTGGCCACTCCTTGCTCACTGCCTGCAGAGTGACGAGGCGGAGCTTGTCGGAAGGCTCAAATCTCTCCATCTTCTAGGTCTCACTAAGGTGAGCGTTCACGAACCATGAGCCCAGGGCCTCCTCAGGCCCTCCTGGCGCTCTCCGAGCTGCTCCGGTTGTCCCCGCCTTTGCTTCCCCCACAGATCCTTGTGTGTAAGAAGGGAAGATAAGCAGAGACCACAGGTGGGAGAGAGTCAGGGTAATGAGAATTGCCAACACATCCGGGTAGGCATACGAGCGCTGCTTCGCCACCTGCTGGAACGGGTTTTCATTGCAGCGCCTCTGGGGCCTCGTAATCACAGGCCCTATGATGTTGTCGAGTGACATCACCGTTCCGGATTCTAGTGACAGGGATGCACACCTCCTGCACCCTGGGGACGCAGTGTGGCTGCATGTCATGTGACATGTGTCTGCCTGACTCTCCTACGAGTAGGACCTTGCTGCGCAGGATGGATGTGTCTCCATGTTACCCCCTCTCCCACTTCCAAGCCCTTCCTCTTATGTGGCCCCCCAGGTCCTCTGGGGAGGACTAGAGGGGTTTTTGTGGCCCACACTGGCTTGTACCATATCCCCGGCAGTAAGCCATAGGCCCCCAGTCTGAGAGCTCCTGAGCATGCTGGCTCTGGAGCCTTTTCCCAGACCGAGTAAGAGTCCTTGGGGGCCACGGTCACCGAGAGCACCACCCCTTCCCAAATCCCAGCCATACTGTCATCCCAGCATGTCCTGCTGGGGTTTGCTGTCTGTTCTGTTCCAAACAGAGATAGAGGGTGTGTGTGTGTGTGTGTGTGTGTGTGTGTGTGTGTGTGTGTGTGCAGGTGTCGTTCCTCAGAAATTGTCCATGCTGTTTGTATACAGAGGCCTTTGCTAGCCTGGTGCTCACAGGTGGGCTGTCCAGCAAGTGCCAGGTCCTCCCAGCTCCACCTCCCCGTGCTGGAGTGAAAGGTGTACACCACCACGCTTGGCCATGCCTGGCTTTTCAGCGTGGGTTCTGGGGGTTTAACGTGGTTTTCATGCTTACAAAGCTTACAAAGGCTTGTCTTACTGAGCCATCTCCCAGCCCTTCTGCATTTTTGAAGCTGTCACTCACCCTGAGGTTCACAGTGAGCAAGAGGGACAGGGGGGCTCCAGATTGTTGGCCAGGGCTGTGGCAGAAAGGACGCTCCGGCACGGGGGGAGGGACTCCTGCGTTCGGGTCCGGAGCATGTCACGCCCAGCTTACATACCTCTGAGAGAGCACTCTATGTCTCCTTTGCTCTCCCCGGTGGTGGGAGAGGCAAAAAGAGCATTTGTCACTGGGATCGGAGGGTGCGGGATGTCACAGCAACCAGCCGGGAGATATCGTGCTCAAGGGTCCCATGTTCCCTGTCCTCCTGGGCGCTTCTGGTGGTTGTGTGAAGTGTCCTTTCCCTCCTAAGCCTCCTGAGTTCGAAACAAACACCTCCTATGCTCCTGAGCCTTGCAGAGGAGGACAGCCTCGCTGTGCAGCTGGCCCTCGTTTACAGCTGAGCATCCTGGGGCTGTGCTTGAGGCTCACATACCCCTCTCTCCACAGCGGTCCCAGTCTGCATTCTCCTTCACCACAGAAGACGCTCTGAAGACCTGTTCGGCAGAGGCTGCACCGAGGCCGCCCAGGGAGCGCAGCCGGCATCTGCTGGAGGAGTCCGCTCTGCCCAGCTGGAAGAGCGTGGACGGGCTGGACGGAACAAGTAATGGGCTTTTGTTGTTTGTTTGTTTGTTTTGTTGAGACAAGGCCTCGTGGAGCCCAGGCTATCCCCGACTCCCTGTGTCGCCAAAGATGGCCTTGCACCCCTGATCTGCCTGCTCTGCTTCTCAATGCTGAGATTGTAGATATGAGCCACCCCTCCCTGGCTCCAAGCGGGCTTCACAAGTGCTGTTTGGAGTCTTGCCAGCTTGTGTGTGTGCGTGCGTGTGTGTGTGCGTGCGGGTGTGTGGGTGCATGTGTGTGTGCGTGTGTGCTTGCGTGCGTGTGTGCGTGCGTGCATGTGTCTGTGAAAGGGTCCCTGAGAGGCAGTCATCTTGCCTGTCCTAGGGATGGCACTGTGGTTTGCTTGTGCCTATGGCCTTCTTCTTGCTTCTAGAATGTTCTGCCTCTCCCTTAGGGGATGGGACTCACATTGACATGTGTAACTCATGACCCTTTAGAAAGCTGTTGAGTCTTACATATAAGCTCAGTTACTTTCCTAAGCTCTCGCACAATGGTTGTGACCATGGAAACAGAAGCCAGGGGCCATGAAGCCCCACATTTGGGGTTCTTGTACCCTTCAACACAGGTCTGCTCCTCCCCTAATAAACACACACAAACAGACCCATATGTTGTCCCATGAAGTAGCTGTGAGTGGTATCCTCAACCTGTGTTGTAACTCAGACCCAGATCTCTTCCCCAAATAGCAAAATTACTCAACAGCAAGTGGCCACCTGGGAAGTAAACAACTTTTAAAGATTATTTCCCTCTATAACTAACCAACAGCCTGTAAACCCAAAGACTCAGAAATGTTCCATATCTGTTAATCTGAAGATTTCCCATAAGAGATAACTTCCCTGTTAATCCTCTAGTGCCTGGTGGGTAGCTGAGGGGAGGAGTAGCTGAGGGGAGGAGTAGCTGAGGGGTGGAGTAGCTGAGGGGAGGAGTAGCTGAGGGGTGGAGTAGCTGAGGGGAGGAGTAGCTGAGGGGTGGAGTAGCTGAGGGGTGGAGTAGCTGAGGGGTGGAGTCTGTGCAGCCCCAACACTCAAGAGATGACAGCCCAGCACTTGCTTCATCTGTGTGCGTTATGGTTTTGGTTTTTAACTACTTTTCATTCCTAGACACACGATTCAGATACCCGGCATGCTCGTGTCCCCCGATTCTCTCCCTCTCTCTTTCTCTCCTACCTCTTCCTTTCTCCTGTCCCTTCTCCCGCTCCTTTCTCTCCTCATCCTGTCTCTCCCTCCCTCCCTCCCTCCTCTCTGTGTCCCCATCCCCCCTCTTCTCTCCATCTCCCTCTGCTCTCTGTCACAGAGCCGCTGGCAGGTTGACTCTCATCTCCCCGTATGTTGTTTATTGGGGCACAAGCACCACATTCCCGACCCGACCGTCCTGGAACCAGGCAGAGGGAAGTTTGTGTGGGAAGACTTCTGCTTTGCCACCGGCCTTGGCCTAGGGGAAGCTTCAGGGTCCCATGTCGAGGCCCCGCCCAGAACTCGGACTTGGCTTAGCCGTCCCCCCCCCTCCTGGTCTGTTGCACACGCTCCTCATGAGTCCTGCTGTACTTAGCATCTTCTGAGTGACAGGCGGAGTCTAATGTGGTGACCTGGGGGGGGCTTACCATTCATTTGGGACTTGAGCCCAGACAACGCACAAGGACAGACAGACACCAGATGAGAAAGGAGAGGCCAGCAGCAGCGATGGCTGAGGGTCACTCTGGGGGCTGGGCTGTGGAGCTAGAGGTGCCTGCCAGTCAGGCAAGGGAGGAGGGTACGCAGCCCACAAGCTCCCAGCTGTGAGTGGAGGCACGCTCGCACGCTCGCAGCGAGGGACCATCCCCAGGCATTCCAGCCCCGGCTCAGGGCACACAGCACAGGTCTCGTGCCTAGGTTAGGACTCAGGTGAGGTCCTGACAGCGTAATTTCATGAGGAGTGCTCTGACAGGGTGCCGGCTAGAGCTGTACATGGAGAGCACAGGTCTCTATGGGGGAAAGTTGGCGTTGCCCTTTCCTGGCTCTGAGGAGCTGTGTGGGTGCCTGAGCACCCTGGCTCCCCAGCCACTCAGCCCCCCCCCTCCCAGAGACCACCATGCTTCACAGAGGGCGCACGTGAACAATGACAACAGAATGCACAGCTGTTTTCCGTGTGCACAACCATGGCGAGTGGGCACGGGTCCACGGACCAGGGTTGAAGTCCACGTCTATACTCCAAGCCAACAGGCAGATGACAAGGGCTGAGAGTGCTGGGCATATCCAGCACTAGGGGCTTCATGATCCATGCCACGGTGTCCCCAGACAGCAACGGTGGGTCCCTCTAACCCTGCTGCAGGAGACAGGCTGGGCAAGAGACAGGCTGGGGGTACTCTCTGAGTCCTTCTGCTAGTAACCTTGCACCCAGGGTTCAGCATGAACCCCAGGTTCTTTTTAAATTCTCTTTACTAACATTATTCACTTATTAGTTTTGGTGTTTTGTGTGTATATGCCCCATGGAGACCAGAAGAGGACATCAGATCCCCTGTAACTGGCATCACAGACTATTGTGTCCTCTGGAAGAGCAGCCAGTGCTCCTAACCACTGAGCCACCTCTCCAGCGCTGCAAGCCCCAGGTTCTTGGATTTTCCCTTCACTACAGCAGCCCTGCTTACACATGGGTGTGAGAAAGGGAGCTACTAAGAATCGGTCTTGGGCTGGGGGTGGCTCTGGTGGTAAAATGTTTACTGTGCAAGCATGAGAGCCTGAGTTCAATTCCCAGGTCCCATCATGGGCTGGGGGAATGGCTCAAGTTGACCGTTGTTACAGAGCTCCTGGCTTTTGTTCCCGGCACACATGTCGGGCGACTCACAACTGCTTGTAAGTCTAATCCCAGTTGATAGGATGCCCTCCGACCTCCTCGGGCCCCTACATACTTGATGTAAACTTAGCAGACATGCACACATGTGCATAAGTAAAAATTAAATCATTTTCTGAGAAGACAGGAGGATCCCTGGGTTTCTACCAGGCAGTTGAGTTGGGTCAGTGCGAGTCAACTTCAGCGGGAAGATCCCGTCTTAGAAACGGAGGTGGAGGCCGGGGGATGCCTCAGTGGTTAAAGCACTTGCTGCCCAAATGTAAAGACCAGAGTTCGGATCCCCAGAACCCTCGTCGATGCCTGGTGGGTATAACAGCTGCCTGTCATTCCAGCACCAAAGGCAGAGATGGAGTCCCCAGACCAAAGCTGGCCAGGGAGAGCAGCATATTTGTGAGCTCTGCTTTGACTGGGGGACCCTGCCTCGTAGAGTAAGGAGGGAGAGCCACTTAATTGGAAGACCAACTGCAGGGTTCTGCATGCATGTATACCCACATACATGTGGTGCACATGCACATACATGCACACGCGTGCACGCACACATACATACACACAGGCACACGGGCTCACACACGTGCACACACTCACACATACACGCACACACGGGAACGGCCTGGAAGGCCAGGGGGTTGAGAACAGACTCCGGGAATAGAGGGCCTGGAGGTGACCACAGGGTGTGGGTAGCGGAGTAGGAAGTGGCAGAAGGAGGCGGAGCCAGCACCCGGCTGGGGCTCCCCGATTCCCATCTTCTGGTGGTGGGGGTCCGGTGTCCTCATGGTGTGTGAAAGCCCCGGTTTCCAACTCTCAGAGAGAAGAGAACCCAGCATTGTGCCATTCTGCCAGGGAGCGTTACAGCAGGCAGTTGCGATGGAACTGGGCCACTGGGTTGAAGACACACACACACACACGCACGCACACACACTCCCCCAGCGTCCACCGTCCTCCAGGCCCGAGTTGTGCAGGGCCCGGTCTCCCCCATAGAGCAGCAGTCTGAGAAAAAAAGCCTGTGTCATTTCCGTAGTTCCAAGTGGGGCCCTGTCTCGAGGTCGTAGTCCCCTGGTCCAGAAGCTAACGTCCAGGGGCAAGCCGGGGAACGGTCCCTTCCAAAGCTCTTAGCAGTCTTTGCTCGTCCCTGGAGGAGAACAGTCCTTCCCAGCAGCTGCTGTGACTGAGGAACCTGTAGCTCCCAAAGGAACTTCTGGACATATGGGCAGTTAGCGTTTTCCTGCGTTTTCCTGACGCTCCCTGCATGTGGGTGGGTGAAGCCTAGACGTGCCTCCAAGTCTCACTCCATCTGCGAAGCCCCCAGAAATTCCTGAGAACTCTTTTTGTTTTAACAATACTTCTACTCTTTAAAATTCTTATGTATCCATCCCCCACATTCCAACTACCCCCAGGACTCCTCAACCCATTTTCTTCAAATTTCATGTCATACCATCATCATCATCACCGCCATCCTGAATCCAGTTAGTCCTGGGGCATCGGCAACCTACCGGGGTCCACATCTCCAAAGCCAAACGACTCTGCCTCCCTCTGCAGCCACCAACTGCCAGTGGCCCCTGTGCTGGGGGTGGGGCCCGTGAGCTCCTCCCCCATCCATATCTACTCTCCATACTGTGCAGGTCTCGGGGTAGGCGACCACAGCCTTGAGTTGACGTGTGCCAGCCATGCCACGCCGGGAGCCCTCCTCCCCACCCTCGGTCTCATAGTCTTTCTTCCCCCTCTCCCATGATGCTCCCTGAGCCTTGGACGGGAGAAGTTGACGTTGATGATACCCATCTGTGGCCGAGCACTCAACGTCCTGTGAGCTGGGTGTGCACGCCTGCTCTTCCTAAAGGCAGTGTCTCCACAAACTCACGGGGAGCTGGTCGCGAGCGATGAAATGCTGCCCAGATTGCTCTACAGTGATCATGGACCCCCTCTGGTTTCTCTCTCCTCTCTGCCCCCCAGGTCTAGCCCCAGTTTTGCAGAGCCCTGATGGGAACTGGATGGCCTTGAAGGATGATGGTACTCGGCCCCTAAGCCACCTGCTGGCCAAGCCAAAGAGTGGGACCTTCCAGGCCCTGGAGGTGGCGTCCAGCGTGACGTCTGCCTATGATGAGATGGGTTCCGACAGTGAGGAAGACTTTGACTACGGTGAGGCCTTGAGTGAGCTGTGCCCACTGCCCCGGGGCAGACCCGAGCAGTGCCAGCCTCAGCCTGCACAGGCTCAGTGTTCCGGCCAAGGTCCCTTAGCCACCTCTCCCTCAAACCCTGAGGCCATGGGCTCCGATTCAGAGACTTCTAGCTCGTCTCGGGAAGCCGGACGCCGGGCTAGGCTGTCCTGGCTGCAGAGGAAGGCCCCCAGGACCCCCACGGCAGAGAAGATGCACCGCCAGGGGGAGCTGGACGTGAACTTCAACCCCCAGGCGGCCGGTGTGGAGACATCAGACAGTAGCGATCAGGAAGAGGTGTCCCACACCGCAGACCGCCGGGCCAGGAGTTGGAGAAGGGCCCGAGTGGACCCAGAGGAGCCAGACAGGGGGCTGTCTTCGCTAAGTGCCCATCCACAGGGTCTACACACCCCTCAGGTAAGGAAAGTTCACCTGCACACACACACACACACACACACACACACACACACACACACACACTTTGAAGTAGGATGGCCCTTCTCCACATATGGTGGCCCAGAGAGCCTGGTTTGGGATCCCCTGTCTAAGATTCTATTGACCTTGCTGCCTAGCAGCCAAGGGACCCGAGTCAGGTCACGCAGACCCTCAGCGGCTCTGTGTCCTTGTCTTGGTTAGGCTTTCTTGTCACTGCGCGCAAACACCTGTCAAAGCACATCCTGGTGGGGTGGGGTCTCACTTGGGCTCACGGTTCTAGAGGGTTCTGTGCCTCCTGGGCTGGAGCAGAGTGTGTTTGATGGCAGTGGGCAGTGGTCGAGGGCTTCTTCAGTCACAGTGGACAGGAAGACCAGAAGGTGAACATGAGAGAGGCCTGGGGCGGGGCGGGGCCTGGGCGGGGCCGGGTGGGGCCAGGGGGACGGCTCCATTGGTAAAGGGCTTGCTGGGTAAGCTTGGAGACCTGAGTTCAGTGCCCACCTACATGAAAAGCCAAACATGGCGTCACACTGGCCATTCCCAGTGCCAGGGAGACAGGGGCAGGAGAACCCTCGAAGTCACGCCTGGCCAGCCTAGCCTACATGGTGAGCCTCTGCCAGTGAGGAGCCCTGTCTCAAAGACAAGGTGGTGACTCCTGAGGAATGACATCTAAGTCCATCTCTGGTGGGCCTCTGCGTGTTCATACACACATGCACCTCACATGCATAAACGTGCACACACACACACACACACACACACAAAGTAGTGAATTACTACATTTTTAAAATTAAGGAAAAAAAAACCTAGGCAAGATAAACTTCCAAGGAGCATTCCTAAATCATTGTGCGATTCAAAACAGGGGTGACCGGGGCTTCTGGTTTACGACAAAGTGGCTTCAGACTCATCTTTGAAAGGCGCGTGTCTTCGTTGGGGTTTCTGTTGCTGTGGCCAAAAGCAACTTGGGGGAGGGGGTATCAGCTGACAGCTCTGGGGGAGGGGGTATCAGCTGACAGCTCTGGGGGAGGGGGTATCAGCTGACAGCTCTGGGGGAGGGGTATCAGCTGACAGCTCTGGGGAGGGGGTATCAGCTGACAGCTCTGGGGGAGGGGGTATCAGCTGACAGCTCTGGGGGAGGGGGTATCAGCTGACAGCTCTGGGGGAGGGGTATCAGCTGACAGCTCTCAGGCCACACCTCATCACCGAGGAAACTCAGGGCAGGAGCTCAAATGGAACCAGCGGAGGCCATGGCGGGGAGCAGCTCACTGTCTGGCTGCTCATGGCTCGCTCAGGCTGCTTCCTTATACAACCCAGGACCTCTGTCCCAGGGGTGGTGCAGTGAGCTGGGCCTTCCCACACCAATCATCAATCAAAACAATGCACCATAGCCTCGCCCACAGGCATCTTCTGAACCGAAACCCCCTCTTCCTGGATGACTCTTGCCTGTGTCAAGTTGACAAAATAAAACCAAGCAGGACAGCACCAGGTAGGGAGAAGGCAGAGGCCACCTAGACAGTACAGGTACACACACACACACACAAACACACACACACACACACACACACACACACACACACACACACGCGTGTCTATCCTCCCCGGGGAGGGAACCTTGAGCAAGTCGCAGTACCCTCTCGTGCCCACTAGGTGGGGCTGCTGCTACACTGCAGAGGTATCCAACCCTGCAGTTCCCATTCATAGGGCAGTTCTCACCTCACCCCCACCCCCGCCCCCGCTGCCCCGCCTTGGGAATGAAATAAAATTAAAATTACATATTTAGACTGTTACTTTAGACACGCATAAACAAATGAATGTAAGACAAAGCAAGTGAGTGTGCTATAATACACAAACGTTGAAGTGTACTAATGGCATTTCCTGCCAGGCATGGTGGCACGTGCCTATAATCCCAGTAGCAGGAGGATCATGTATTAGAGACTAGCCTGCACTGCATATTGAGTTCCATTCTATCCTGGGCTAAATAGTGAGACACCCTCCCCCGTTTCAGAAAACAGACAGACAGGGTGGAGAGATGGCTTAGCAGTTGAGGGCGCCGGCTGCTCTTACAGAGGACCTGGATTCAGTTCCCAGCACCCACATCCGGCAGCTCACCGCCACCTGTAACTCCAGCTCCAGAAGAGCTAATGTCCTCTTTCTGAGCACGGACAGTGCCCATACAAACAGTCACACACGTATACATAAATTAGAAACTAGATAAGATAGGCATAAAACCCAACTCGGTGTTATATCCCTAAAATGACCGTAGGTGTATTTTGTATGAGGTCATTTTTTTTAGGGTTTCTATACCTGTGATGAAACACCATGATCAGAGCTACGAAGTCAGGATAGGAACTGCGACAGGGCAGGACCCTGGAGGCCGGAGCTGATACGGCAGCCATGGAGAGGAGCTGCTTGCTGGGTCTTGCTCAGTCTGCTTTCTTATAGAACCCAGGACTCCTGCCCAGGGGTGGGGCCCCACCTACTATGGGCTGGGCCCTCCCCTGTTGATCACTAATTCAGGAAAGGCTCCGTGGTCTTGCCTACAGCTGACCTAATGGAGCCCTTCCCTTAACCTGGGCTCCCTCCTCTCAGATGGCTTTCCCTTGTGTCGAGTTGACACACAGCTCTCCAGTTACAGCCATCTTTGTGTGTTCGTGTGCGTACAGTGCGCATGAAACCGCCACTCAGCAAGTCCGCCTGTGTCGGGCATCACGCCGTCCATCTTCTTCCAAAGCCCCCTAACTCCCAACCCTAAGTGACACAGCCGGCTTGGCGCTCAACAATTGAGACATTCTAAGTGCAGAAGATTGGTTTCAGACAGATGGCGTGCCAAGAACAGGGGATCAGGAATACACTGTGGGGAATTAAAAACCAGGAGCTGGGAGATAACTTAGTTGGGAAAGTGCTTCCTTTGCGAGCACAAGGGCTGAGTCCCATCCCCAGAACACCTGTGAAAACCCAGGCACGGTGGTACAGGCTTGTAATCCCTGCACTAGGAGGCAAGACTTCAGGTCATTGGGGCTTGCTAGGCAAGCAGCCTCGCCGGTGTAGCCAGGCCCGTGTGAGGCCCTGCCACACACACAACAGTGAAAAACAGCAATAAACACATTAAAAGTCTTTTGGAAAGATGATTTCTTTTTTTTAAGATTTGTTTATTATGGACACAGCGTCCTGCCTGTATGTGTGCCTACAGGCCAGAAGAGGGCGCCAGATCTCATTACAGATGGCTGTGAGCCACCATGTGGTTGCTGGGAATTGAAATCAGGACCCCTGGCAGAGCAGCCAGTGCTCTTTGCTGCTGAGTCATCTCTCGAGCCCATGGAAAGATTTTCATAATTGTTTTTAATTAGGTGTGTGTGTGTTCGTGTGTGTGTGTGTGCGTGTGTTTGTAATTGTGAGCACAGTGGCTAGACATGGGTGTCTTCTTCAAGAACACTAAGTGCCCTTGATGGCTGAACCACCTCTCCCATCCTCAGAGTCTAGACAGACTCCCTGTATCATCTCCTTCTGCCACTCTTGGCAATTCTGAGCAACAGTGCCAACGATAAACACTTCCAAGTGGGCCAGGTGGCTTCCAAATCCCACTCAGGACGTCACTGGCTTATCCTTTCCCAAAGCGATGGGCATTTAAAGATTTGGTCCGTGCTCCCAGGCTTCAGACAGTCCAGTGGAATCTCACTGTGCAAATGGAAATACTTGTTGGATTAAGCTCTCAGATCTCCTGGCTGTTTGCACCGACATGCCAGCATATGGCCGTGTTTGCACATGCCAGTGCATGTATGGCCGTATTTGCACATGCCAGTGCATGTATGGACATGTTTGCACATGCCAGTGTATGGCTGTGTTTGCTCATGCCAGTGTATGGCCATGTTTGCACATGCCAGTGTGTGTATGGACATGTTTGCACATGCCAGTGCATGTATGGACATGTTTGCACAAGGCAGTGTGTATATGTATGGACATGTTTGCGCATGCCAGTGTGTGTGTGGGCATGTTTGCACATGCCAGTGTGTGTGTGGGCATGTTTGCACATGCCAGTGTGTGTATGGACATGTTTGTACATGCCAGTGTGTGTATGGACATGTTTGCACATGCCAGTGTGTGTATGGACATGTTTGCACATGCCAGTGTATTATGAACATGTTTACTCATGCCAGTGTCTGTATGGACATGTTTGCACATGCCGTCAGCAGTGTCATTGTTAGTCTGTCCCATTTCTTCCAATTCTATGTGGGGGAAAAATCTTTTTAGTTAACACTTGCATAGTTTCCACCAAGAGTGTTTCTTCCCTGATTTTAAAATCGTTCACATTTTTTCTTATGTGGAAAATGCATTTATGTACTTTATCTGTTATCTTACTCAGCTATTTACCTTTTATTTTGGTGTTCTGAGACAGGGTCTCAACATGTAGCCTTGACTGGCCTGGGACTCACAGGTTGGCTTCAAACTCACAGAGATCCTCCTATCTCCGCTTCCCAAATGCTGAGGTTAAAGGTGTGTGTCACCAGGCCCAACTTAAGTACATTTTACATATATTTTTTTTCCTCAATAACAGTGTGGTTGGGGCTAGGCATGTAGCTCACTTGGCACAGTGCTAGCTCAAGGACCTGAGTTCGATTCCCAGCACATACAAGAGGCATAGTGACGCATGCCTGTAATCCCAGCACTTGATAATGCAAGGTCATCTCAACTGCACAGTAAGTGAGTTCAAGGCCAGCCTGGGCTACATGAGACCCTGCTAGTTATCTCCTTTATCGTTTTATTATTTAATGCCATAAATTCTCAAGCTTATTTTTTTTCTGCTTTTTTCATGATGCTCTGCAGGTTTGTATTTTTTTTTTCATTGTTCTGTTTGACTCATGTAGACTTTACTTCTCTGGGTGTAAGGTAAGAGGTGGCTTTTTTTAAATTTTATTCATTTGCTTTCAAAGCGCTATTAATTCATCCACCATGTGTGCGCTGGTGTCAGACGCCTTCTTCAGTACGCATGGTCATTACCATGTGTCTGTTTCTTTGTTCCCATCCTGCACAAATCCTACTGTTTTCGTTAGAAATTCCTTACAGTCCGTGTTGCCGTCTGGTGGACAGTCGTGTGTGTGTGTGTGTGTGTGTGTGTGCGCGTGTGCGCGCGCGTGTGTGTGTGTGTGTGAGCGCACATATACGTCGTGTGCCTGTCTTAATGCTTTCTTCTCTCCTCGCCCTGTGTTGCTTTGGTTGATACTTACATCATTTTCTAAAACTCTCTTGGCATCTCTCAGCCCTTTACTCGTATAATTGGTTTCTTAAAATCTGTTCAATTTGCCAAAAATTTTTTTTACTGGATTGTGCTGAATGTATGCATACACTTAAGACTATGCCTTTGTAATGTCGAGCTTTTCCATCCGGGACTATGCGGCACTTGCGAAGGTTTTTATACTTTTGCTCAAAGCCCTCGTGCTTTTCTTGTTAAGTAATTTTTAATTTACATTTTAATGATGCTGTGAGAATTTTTTATCTGTTACATGTTCAGGTTAGCTCCTATTGTAGAAGGGTGCTGACTTTATGTTTTGTAACTTAATAGTCTAATGGATCTTTTGTTAATTCTGCTAGTCATTCATGTGGCAGTCTTAGATGCTCTAATTATCTTCAAATAATGAACTCATTTGTGCAAGCAAATACTCTACCACAAAGCTTTCTCCCCCTTCCCCTCCCTCCCCTTCCCTCCCCCTTCCCTTCCCTCCCCCCTCTCCCTCCTCGGACCTCCTCTGTTTTGAGGCAGAACCTCATTAAGCTGCTCAGGTGGGCCTTGAACTCACACAACCTCCAGTCTCCTAAGTAGCTGGAGTCATAGACCACTCTGCTCAGCCCAGCAACACTTGTCCCTTCCCGTCCCTCCTCTCACCCCTCTCTCCCGTCTCCTTGCAGGGGCGAGGGTCTGCTCACTGTGAAGTGACAGGATCTGAGATCTTCTGTCCTTGGTGACCTGCTCTCCAGGGTCTCAGTCAGGTCTGCCACTTGCTTCCAATCGGGCAGCTCTCATCAAAACTAAGAAGCCTTTCCTCACATCCTCCATGACGTAAATCAGGAGCGGGGTTGGCTGGGGCTTTTAAGACAGGGTCTTCTCACCGTGGAGCCCATGTGGCCTGGCACTCACTGTGGCCCAGGCTGACCGTAACTCACAGCCGTTCTACAGCCTTGGCCTCCCAAGTTCTGTGATTCCGAGGGTGAAGCCCCGTGCCCTGCCGGCGTTTCTTCTATGATCTGTTAATGTCGCTAATCGCATTCATTTACATGTCTCGGTTTTGAGTCGGCTTAGCGTTTGTTGTTTGTGGTTTCCTAGACCATGACTCCTGTCTGTAAGAACTGGATTCTTCCGTATGCTGACTTGTTGTGTTCACTGTCAGCTCCTGAGAATGGTTGGATACAGCCTGGAGACAAGGTCCAGCTCTTGCAGAGGACTCACATTTAGTTCCCAGCACCCACAGAGTGGCTTATAAATGCCTGTGACTCTGGCGGCACGGAATCTGATGCCCTCTTCTGGCCACCACAGGCACTGCACTCACATGCTCATACCCACACATAGACACATAATTTAATTCCTCTATGGCTCGTGAGGGGATTCAAACTACGGCTTATTCTCAGATCACGTGTGCTGCTTGTTTGACAGCTGTTGTTTTGTGGCATACATTGATCTGCCATTTCTGGACCAAGGTTTGAGGTTGGCAAAGTCCTGAAGAGAAAAAAACAAAAATTATTCTGCTTACAAGGGAGACAACAGTGGATGTACCTGCCCGTTCTCCTGCCCATTCCTATGGGTTTTGTGTTTAATGAAAAAGTCTCCGTCTTTTACTGACAAGCTCATTTCTGTTGCTTTTGGGCATGGTAGAGTGCCGTCCTTTTGTGGGTCTGCCCACACAATTTTGGAAGAGGATTTGGCAAGGTTGTGTAAGGCTGTTTGCCAGACACCATTTTAACATAGGAGCTGGCTGGTGTGTTTGCACTAATGGGAACTTGAGGGTTACGGCAGCTGCTATTTTAGCTTCCCGCAATGGTTTATTTTTGGTTGTATTCACTTGTGGAGCTCTTCTCTTGAGGTAAATTTGGGTCCACCCAGCATCCTCAGTCCTTATTATTCTCTAAAAAGATGTTAAGAATCTTGGACCTACAAGATGGCTCAGCAGATAAAGGAGCTTGCCACCAAGACGGATGAGCTGAGGCGGATCCCCAAAACCTAGATGTAGAAGGGGAAACTGACTCCCACAGGGGTCGCATGTGTGCTGAGACGCGCGAATGCCCGCATGCCTACACAGACACACAACAAATAAGTGAATAAATGTGAAAGGATACTCTTGCCATACGAGCAGTTAATAATCTTTGTATGTCTAACAGCTGGTAAATATTCCTTTATTTACTATGTTGTTCATAGAAAACATGAAAAGGTCACAATGTGACAATAAGAAACGGAAGATGGGGTGAGATGGAGTGTTCAGAAAACATAAAGGCAGTCCTGGTAAAGCAGGTGCTACCAGACGCTTCCACGGAGGGGCGGAGGAAGCCCCGTGCTTGCCGAACCGCCGCCACACACAAAGCTTGGGCGTTAAGACTTTCCCACGCCCACCTTTCAGAACACAACGGTGGCAAGGACACATCTAGAAAGGGGGATCCCCATTGAATCGCCCCCTCCTAACCCTTTCTGTGCCGTGGGCACCTTGACACCTGGGTTGATCTTGGGCGGTAAGCAGAGGCATGATGGTGGACCCTTTTGAGAGCCCGTGAATTCTCTGGAAACCGTCTCCCCCTTGACTGAGGGAAGAAAACAGTCTTCGTAGCCACGGGGACCCCAGGGCTTGGTCTGTCACCGCCTCTCTGGCACTGGGATCACCGGCATGGCGACCCACCACACCTGGCTTTACATGGCTCTGGGCATCAAATCCTGCTCTCCGTATTTACGCCTCCGCAGGCGCCTTACAGACCCACTGGTTTCCCCAGTCCCGTGGGCCGCACTCCTTAATCTCATCCCCTGCCGACATCACCCTCCGGTCAGGCCAGCACCGTCCCCTGAGTCCCATCAAACCCTCCCCTGTGTGCAGCAGGTTGTGAGCTCCCTGGGGCAGGGATGGTGCACTCTCTACCTTTCCTCCCCAGTGGCCATGCAGGACTCAGCACACCCGCCCAGTCTGTCTCTGCTGAATGTGGACCCACATCACCATGAGCTAAATCTTACATCCTTGTGTGGTAGACAGACATGCGCTGCGGTGACTTTTTCAGCCTTGCCGAGGGGTGCTTCTTGGTGTGAGCGGCAGCTGCCTTCAGTTGCTGTTAAACTCTCCATGTTTGCTCCTCCCCTCCAAGCTCTCTTCACTCTCGTTCTGAACCTCGTTCTTGAATGACACCGAGCCCGTTCTCTGAGCCTCAGGTCTTCTGTCTGACCCCATACTGACGTATGGAAACGTTCTCATCCTTCCTAAGCCTGCCCAGAGCCCGTTCCTCCCCGGGCTGTTCTCACATCCCAGGCAAAGGAACTCTTCCTTCACCGGGGGCGCCTGCGGAGCCCTGGTCATCTCGCAGGCCCTCAGGGTTGCTTCTGGCTCAGAATTGTGAAACAAACGGGCATTTCCAGTGGCCCCTCCTTTCTTTTTGAGTCAATGGTTTTTCAGAATTTCTATGTCGTGGATTTCGTTGTGAACGCCCTCATGTACTTGTTACAGACCGTACTAAGCAGACCCGGCGGGGGACAGATGTTGCAAAGGCTAGAGCAGACGGTCAGGCATTGCTCTCCACAAAACAGGAGCCCCCTGTCCAGCTCACACTCCACGGTGCTCTGTGGAGAGCGGTGAAAGGAGTGTTTGGTCTTTATTGATGGCGTTGGTCATCTTCTCACACATCTTCTCACACCAGCGCTTGAGCCTGAGAAAGTTCACCTGAGACAGCTGACTGGGGAAAACCCCAGGTCTTCCTCAGCTGTACTGTTATGACTGTTGTCAGGGTCCAAGTGACTCCTCTCCACCCCTCTGTTGTCAGGGTCTGGGTGACTCTCCACCCCTCCCCTCTGTTGTCAGGGTCCGGGTGACTCCTCTCCACCCCTCACAGTCGTCAGGGTCTGGGTGACTCTCCACCCCTCCCCACCATTGTCAGGGTCCAGGTGACGTTCCACCCCTCACCGTGAAAGAAAAACTTGAATCCTCGGCTGTGTGCATCAAACGGCAGAATGGGATGAGTCTCACAAGTGAACCTCCCTGCCGGGTGAGTCCACTCTCCTTCTGTTCATTAACTTGGTCTATCGTAACAGAGATCCTGTTCTCATTCAGTTTGCTATTCTAGTCCATTTTTGATTCATCAGAAATAATGGGTAAAAATGACGGGCAGTAACTAAGGGCTAGTGAATAGAACATGCTTCTTCAAGGTATCAGGAGGATTACAGAGATTCTGTCACAGATCTTAGGTTTGTAAGGTGTCCAGTAAACGCATGGTAATTACAAAATAGAATGAGTTTGATTCCATTTGAAAAATAAGTAAGTTTTTCCCTTTGTTCTTTAGACTCCTTCTAAGAGGATAACAGCTGTGAAATATCAAAGCCTTAAAAATAGATAGAATGACTCCCCAAGGAGCATCAAAGGACTAAAATGCACCCATGAGACCCAGATGAAATGCTATGTTACTGATCCCCAGACATTTCCAACCCTTTAGAATACATGCATTACTCTTTGACAGTCTCATACAGGTATACAATGTATCTCAGTCCTAGCCACCCTCAACCCCTCCCTCCCACTCTCCTGGACACTGTTCTGAGCATCCCCTTCCTGCCTCGAGGTCTCCCCACCCCCACCCGCTTTAACCCAGAGTTCCACTAGGGCTTCCAGTGCAATAGTGGCTGGCCCTGCTGACCTGCCTTTGTGCGGGTACCCACAGCTACAGCGAGTTCATGAGTGCGGTGGTCACGCCACGTCCACCATGGCACAGGCTCATGAGTGCGGTGGTCACGCCATGTCCAGAAGATGGTGTGTCACAGTACTCCTCCCCATCCAGACTTACATTCTTTTCCCCACCCTCATTTCCACGATGTTCCCTGAGCTTTGGGTGACAGGGGATGACATAAATACCCCGTTCAGAGGGAATGGACATTTAAGGACATATCTGCACAATCCTCATGGCCTCCTTGGGTCCCCCCAGCCTGTAAGAGTCACATTCATAGAAGGAAGGAGCTTAGCCTAGAATCGACAAGTCGAAAGCAGGTGCAGGCGGTGTGGCCACCAGCTGGTGAGGGGGCTGTAGTGTTGGGGGAGCCCCACACTGTCGCTCACACATGCTCAAGGACCCTGCCCCATCAGTCCTGGGATACCGACCTGGCCTCTTTTTCATTCGAGCTGGGTGACAGCAACACTGGAAGTCCCAGCACAAGCATTCTCCAGGGAAACCTTCCCTGTCTGTTTATGGGATGTGCAGGGTCCCTCCACTGCTTCCGTCCTCTCTGCACCCAAAGGCACCTTGAATCCACGAGGAAGGTTTTGGTCTCCTCTGTCAGGGGGCGCCTGGTGGGAGGGCCCGACAGGCTTGCCCAGTCTGGCTGCTGCCAGTCAGGGAGCACAACAAGAGTGAAAAAGAATGAATTCGGGGCTGGGGAGATGGTTCGGCTGATACAGTGCTTGACTTACAGTAGGAGGATCTGAGTCCAACCCCAGGATTAAAGAAAACAAAGCCAGGTAGGGTGCTGTGTGCCTGGAGTCCTGGCGCTGGGGAGCCAGAAAGTTGGATCGCTGGGGCTCGCCTACTTGGTGAGCTCCAGGCAAGTCAGAAGTAGACCCAGGAGGACAGTCAGAGTCAACCCAGGGCAGAGGTGCACAGGCAGGGAATTCAGACCTCAGAGGAGAAGCCCTAGTCCAGGGAAGGGAGGTACTCAGGCATGTGGAATTCCAGGCACATGAGAGGTCCTGTCTCAAAAACAAACAAGGCAGACTGTGACTAAGTGTGGTGGTTTGAATAAGGAAGGCCCCCATAGGCTCGCATGCTTACATGCTTTGCCACCAGGGAGTGGCGCTGTTTGAAAGGATTAGAAGGATTGGGAGCCTTGTTGGAGGAAGTGTGTCACTGGGGGTGGGCTTTGAGGTTTCAAATGCTCAAGCCTATTCAAGGCCCAAGTTCTCCTGTGCATGCTCTCTCCTCTCTCTCTCTCTCTCTCTCTCTCTCTCTCTCTCTCTCTCTCTCTCTCTCTCTCTCTCTCTCTCTCTCTCTCCTTGCTGATCAGGATGTAACCCTCAGCTACTACTCCAGCACCTGCCTGCACGCTGGCATGATTCCTCCCATGATGATAATAGAATAAGCCTCCAAAACTGTGAGCCAGACCCCATTGAATGTCTTCTTTTGTAAGAGTTACCTTGGTCATGGTTCTCCTCACAACAATATAACAGTGACTAAGACACTAAGGATCAACAGCCAAGGTTGTCCTCCAGTCTCCTTTGTTCATGTCCCACCCACCCACATACACAAAATCGCGGATTCAAGCACTATTCTAAGTGTGACGCTCACCTACCTAAACCCTTTGGCCAAGTGTTGAATGTGTTAAGGAGAGTCAGTGAAGTGGAAATCAGGTCAGGAAAGTTGCCGCTGCCCTGGGCTTCCTCCCCTTGAGGTTCACTGGGGACAGCTGCATCCCACTCTGCAGAGGAACCTTTATCTCCTGACTCTGGCTCCACACAGGTGTCAGACAACGTGTCAGAGACTGACATCAGTAACGAGGCTCAGAATTCCCGGACCAGCACAGACTCTGCAGAGGAGAAGCTGAGGAACAGATTGTACGAGTTAGCCATGAAAATGAGCGAGAAGGACACTTCTTCTGGGGAGGAGCAGGAGTCTGAGCCCAAGACTGAACCCGAGACCCAGAAGGGAAACCTGTCTTGTGAGGAAACCAGCCAGGGTGTGCAGGAGGAGCTGAAGAAGGTAAGGGCCAGGAGACGCCTGCGGACAGCACTGCCTGCCACAGCTGCAGTGTGTGCGTGTGTGTGAGTGTGCATGTATGCCTGTCTGCACACGTGTGTTTGTATGTGCATGTGCATGCGTGCAAGTATGTGTGTGCATACCTGTTTGCACATGCATATGTGCACACGTGTGTGTACATGTGTGCATGCATGTGTGAGAGCGTGCATGCATATCTGTTTGCACACGTGTGTTTGTATGTGCGTGTGTGCGTGTGCATATGTGCAAAGTACTGTTGTGCATGCCTGTTTGCATACACGTGTGCTTGTTGTACAAATCCATGTGTATGCATGCCTGTTTGCACATACATGTGTGCATATGTGCACATGTGTGTGTTTTTGCGGAGATGCCCTGGGCCCCAGAAAGCTTTCTCTACAGTATTCAGCCCATGCATAGGGAGAGAAAAAGAGAACTTTCTCAGTCATTTCCAGGGACAATCGAGGAAGGGATACCACCGCCCTAGAGAGTCATCCACATCAGGGCTCCTGCTGCCCTTCACCTTGAGTCTTCCATTCCGTGACCTTCCCCGTGTCCAGTGATGACATCACTGTTTTACTTTGCCCATGGTTTGGGATTATGTGCCTGCCCCTCTCTAAAGCAGTGAAGAGGCTTCTATCCACGGCACAGGGGCTTTGTGTTGCAAGTGGCCATCTGGACTCGTCGGCTGTGCCAATTTTAGATCCCAATTTGTTTATTTCAGCCCAAGATTCCGTTTCAGAGCAATCTTACATGGAATCCCTGTGTTCCAAACAGGCCAGTCCTGTTCTTAGGATCCCAAAACCCAATCACTGACTCTTCAGCCCCACACTCCTTCCCTTCCTTACAAGCAAGTCGGAGGTCCCAGGCACATGGTTTGAGAAGCATGGACGATAAACCAGCCCTCAGCAGAAGGGATCATAGCCACCTCCCCACTCTGCCTATGCCTACTGTGCCAGCTTCCTTCCAAAGTTTCTCAAGACCTGTTGATGCCGAGTGTCTCTGCCTGCCACCAATGAAGGGAAAGAGTGACATGTCGATTGTCCCCTATATAGATGGCAGGTAAATAGGCAGACAGATAGATTGATAGTGGATAGATAGTAAATAAATGATAGATGATATGCAATAAACAGATCATAGGTAGATGTTAGATTGATAGGAGTATAAATGAATGATAGGTATCTATCTATACATATAGCAGACAGATGACAGAATGATAGGTGATAGGTAGATGATATATTGGTAAATTATATATGATAGATAAATACAAAGATACATAGATAGATACATAGATAGGTGATAGACTGATATATTGATAGATTATAGGTGATAGACAGACAGACAGACAGACAGATTATGGGGAGTCTCTGCAAGCATGGCCAGTAGAGTAATGATCCATGTGAGCCAAGAAGGAAATCTAGTTCAGCACCACTCAGTGGCCAGTGTCGCTTCAAGCTTCTAGCGTCTGTCACTGGGCAGTTTATTGTAGCTATATTTAAGCACAGCACACGTTTGGAAAAAGGTTTCCTGATGATAATTAACTCAATCCCCTGTGTACAATAAAACATAAGTGTTTACATTGAAACTGTTTACAGAGTACATATGATCTCTTCCATAAGGACGGTTCTACTGGCTGAGGAACAATGCTCAAGATAAGGGTCTAGGGAAAACAGCTGGGATAAACGTAAGAGTCTGTGGGAGTCAGGTGTGGCCTGGCTGTACAGGTCACCAGGCTGCTAACTATACCCATCCCTTCCCGGCAGAAAACAGGCAACACTGCATGCTTAACACTCCTGGTTTCCCCAGTGCTTAACACTCCTGGTTTCCCTAGTGCTTAACATTCCTGGTTTCCCTAGTGCTTACCTGCGAGCACAAAGACCTTGTGCCCTCTATGGGTAATAGATTGATAATAATGATTGATAGATGATCAATTTATAGACTATGTGATGGTAGATAATAAATAGCTGGTCGATTGACTGATTGGTTGGTTGATTGATGTAGATAGATTATTAGATACAAGCCCAGCTCATTAAATAACCCATTGATGTAGCTGCAGCTGATTTTTCAGATGGGGACGGCGGGCCTGGGTTACCGAGGCCCACGTGTAGTGTCAGAGCTGAGGACGCATCCATCACAAGCCTTGACCTCAAATCATGAGCTCCCCTCTTTGTACCAGGTCCCCTCTTGTTGGCCCCAACGGGTTTCACCCCTCAACACCTGGGGCTCTTGTGTTTCACACGTGAGACGTGGTTCTAGTAGACTCACCTCTCACGAGGGTCTTTTCCCTGTTCCGAGGGTACACCGTGGAAGCTCACAGGTTCGTCTGACCCTCGTGCATGAGTGAAGGATCTCTCACACCCTGCTAGGCAGCTAAACCAACTGAACTGCCGCCAGAGAGGAGATGGGGCCCCTGTGATGACAGATGGTCAGCGTGGGCCCTCGGGGAAGCAGAGACTGTCGCGCGATGTCTGTCTAGCGGGGCCTCCATAGCTTGTTGGCTTTTCAGTCCCAAAGCGCTAAGGAAAACTCGTGCTGGGCCAGTGGCAGGGCATGCTGAGATGAGGGGCATGTCCCCACCTTCACCAGCCACCTGGGGCCACCTCCTCTGGGCACACCCACCTGTCTGCCGTATGCACCCCTAGGGAAAGAAGGGCCACTGGGGGAGCAGCAAGGCCCTCCCCCACCATGCTAACTCCGCTTAGACTCCCAAGTGCATGGGCTCCTCAGTGTTCAAGTCCATCCCCCAGTTTGCCACAAGTTCATGAAAATTCGACCAGTTATCATTCTTTGTGCGTGAACATCACTGCCTGAAAAAACAACAGAAAAGGATACATTTCTTCCAGCAGGCACGACAACCGGAGAGGCAGAAATACAGATTTGCGGACTGGATATTTTCTAAGCCTAGAGATGTGCTATGCAGAGAAGGCTCCAGGCTTAGAGTGTTGTGCGTTGTGGTTTTGCAAACTCCCTCAACTTAGGCTGATGTCTTAACTCATCACAGCTGCTTTCAGGCGTCCGTTGCCCTTTCTTGCCTCGAATCCTCACTGGTCCCCTGTGAAGGGCTCCTGGCCCTTCCTGGACCCCCCAGACCTTTTCCCACTCAGCAGCCCAGCTACCCTGCTATCACAGGACTTGCTCTCCAGCATGTGCCACCAAGCCTATGTCTGTCTGTCTGTCTGTCTGTGATGTAGCGCAAATTCGCATTGGTCTGACTCAGATAGCCAGGTAAATGCTGAAAGATCAAAGAAGCAGAGCAGCCCAGCCGCCGGAGTTCTTAACCCCTACAAGATGTGTCTCTGCCCGCCTTATATTCTTCTCTCTGCCCAACCACATAACTTCCTGTTTCCTCCTCCCTAGTGCTGTGGTTAAAGGTGTGTGCTGCCACTGCCTGGACTCTATAGTGGCTAGCTCCACCCTCTTACCTACAGGCAAGCTTTATTTGTTAGAGCACAAACAAAATATCACCACACTGTCTGTCTGTCTGTCTGATTTTTAACTTGATTCCTAGCATCCAGCCCAGGTTTTTATTGTTGATTGGGTAAATGCATCTTACCCTGCCTGTAAGACAGAGATAATCAAACTGCCTTTCAGAGTTGTGAGGCTTGAATTATGCAGCATAAGCTTCGAGCACAGCAGGAGCCCAGCAAATGTTAATTAGCATATCCCCTGTAACAAGCTCCAAGAAAATCAACTTCACAAAATACTGTCCATCTGCTGGGGCTGAGAATGGCGAGCTCAACGCCTTGCACAGACACAGATCTGTATCCACAGCTGGTGCCCTTCTCGCTGTGCAGAATGTCAGTGGGGGAGCACTGCATGGGGCTGGGCCCCGAGTTCCCATCTTTAAGGTCAGTGTAGCTGTGACACCTCCCTTGATTCAGCCACTGTCAGTCTATACAACACACACACACACATAGACACACACACACATGTCAAAGAGCAGGAACCTTAGACCTCATAGGGACCACCGGTTCCTGTTGCATCTGTCCCTGCTTCCCCAGTGCATGCAGGACTGTGACACTAGTGCCAGTTTGGTGGCTTTAATGCAACTTTTTCTGTAGAACTTGGGGGGCTTGTGGGTCCCGCCCAGCAGTAGCAGAACCCCTTTAAAAGCATGGTTTCTTTCCTTGCTTTGAGTCGGCAGATTTACCCCTCAGCTGGCCTGAATGGTTCACTTTGGCTGTGTGTAAGTGGACCAGTGATGATCGAGAAACAGCTGAAGAATGAGCTTGTAGATCCTGGGGGTCAGTCCCAAAACCTAGTGGCGATTAGTTGTGCAAAGGGGTCATGTTTCCTCTTTAAGTGGCCACTCTGGTCCCTCAAACCCCATTGGTCAGCCTTCCAAACTGTGGTGCTTGGAGCCTGGAAATGAGCACCGGCTTGTCCAGCTCTGGGCAGGGGCCATCCCAGTTCTTCTAAGGGAGCATTCCTGGCCGAGTGGTTCTCGAAACTACTTCCCTCTACTACCGAAAAGGGGACATGAAGTAAAGCCAGGGACTGGCCTGAGTCTAAAGGCAACATTCCGGTAGCCAAATCACACACACATGGCCCTGCTGTATCCAAGCCTATAGCAGCTTCCTTCTGGATCCCTCCTGACTCCAGGATTCTACGGATACGCGTTACATGGACAGTGGCATTGTCTATCATTTCCTGATAGAAATGTCATTTACAACGCTGCTTCCTAGAGACCCAAGTCAGTAAACTCTTGAATTAGAGACCAATTTGTACATCCCTTGTTCTGGAACATTTTCATTTAAGGCATCTTTGTTTATAATGTCAAGTAGATGAGTTGTGTTTTATTTTTATAAGAGGGTCATAGCCCAGCAGGCCTTCCCCAAAATTGACAGGCATTGAGATCTTGCTAAGTTAACAAGAAACTGATGTTAGGGCTGGAGAGATGGCTCCACAGTTAAGAGCATTGACTTGTTCTTCCAAAGGATCCAAGTTCGGCTCTCAGTATTCACATGGCAGCTAACGATGTCCGAAAC